TGTGTGCATGGACACATAGGATAACAAACTGGGGAGCTTACTGCCTGTAAAAAAAAACAGCAGCTGTAAAAACGTCCAGTGTGCATGAGGACTTAAAAGCAACGCACTTGCAATATTTGCCACAGTGATTTCAGATTTTGTAGAAGAGGAGATATTCAGCAATTTGGAATGACTCACTGTATATGTGAAAATGACGGTGCTCCGCTTCCTGAGCATGCCGCGTTCATGACTTCAGAATCTTGTGTGCCCTGTTTATTACTTGTGTAAACACTCCTCTGGAAAGGGAAATCGTAGCTCAGAATGGGAATCTGTCTGACATCAGACAGCAGAGGAAATCTCTGTCAGCCGATGAATTGCTGATTAATGAATACAGGGAAATAAATTGGAATTCTCTGAAGCTCTGGATGGTTGTACTGACTTTACGTCAGGTTTGATGTGCAGAGAAGCAGGTCACTGTGGGTATTTAGTTTATTTATATGCACTTTGGCACTTCACTAAATGCAAGTCTAAAGCACATCTTTTATTTTGGTTATAATTATTTGTATTGTATATCTTTTTTTTTTTTTTTTTTTTTTTTAGATATTTTAGCCCTTCAAGAATTCATGAGTCTATTATCTTGCAATCAAACCATTGTTTTCTGCACTGTTCCAAAGAAAACTCCTTTTAGGCTCCATGCACACAATTTTTTTAAGCTCCTTGAAGCTGTTATTAGCATTTTTTTTCTGCTCCTAGATGCTAAATGGTGTCATGCACATTACTTTAGAATAAAAACAGAAAAAAATTGTTTTTGGAGTGTTTTTCCAGCAGAAAATGCTAAACGCTCCTAACAGTTTTTTTTTTTTTTTTTTTTTTTCCCCTTTTTTTTCTATATGTAGTGTAAAAACGCTAATAAAACCATAACGCTCCTAAACTTTCCTAAATGGTATTACCAGCATTTTGGATTAAAAAAAAAATTGCTAGTGTACATGGAGCCTTAAAAGAAAAATGGAAGATAAAGTATTAGGAGAAAGTGAGTGGAGAATCAAAGTATTGAACAAGTTTGTGGTCTTAAAGTGTAATTTCACCTTTACAAAAAAAATGAAAAGGTGAACTAACGCAATAAACCCTTCCTATCCACCCCCTGGTCCCCTCTGAGCTGTCAGTGCAGATGCAGCCAGTGCAGCTTTCCAGGGATTTGAAGTCCACACTCTTCTCCCTCTCTCCTCAGGACAGAGGGAGGTGGGGAGGGGGTATACATTGTTAGTTTACCTTTTCCTTTTTCTGTAAAGATGAAACTAACACTTTAAAGTTGCATCAGGGCAAATAAAAAAAAAAACTATATGCAGTAGATCTCTGCAGTACATGCACATTGTCCCTTGTTTTACTCTATAAACCCTGCAAGTACAGAAAAATACTTGATCTGCCAGAAATGCACTCCCTAAGCTGGTCATACACCATTTAGTCTTTTTGCTGAATGGAAAAAAAATCAAATAGATTTTTTGATCCATGCTAAGCGTCGATGGACAAATCCCCCTGCTGGGCCGTTGTAGTCTGGCGGCTGTCTGCATCCCATCAGGTGTGGCCACTGCTCAGGTATTCTGATACTGGTCACACATCACAGGATGTTATTCTCGGCTGAACTAAAAAAAAATGTAATCAATTCTACCATCCACACTACACAACATGGATGGATGAATCTTCTGCTGTAGCTATTGTATTCTGTCAGCCAACTTCAATGGATGTCAAAATACCCAAACAATGATTGTATCTGGCAGTTTTCCACCCAGCTCCTTTTGATATTTTCAATCTCGGGATGAGGGGCTGGTTGGGTCAACAGGGCCACTGAGTAAGGGAAATTTGTCTGTCTGGCTCCTGATGATGAAATTCAACCATGCATGACCAGTTTAGAGTCTGTTGTGATGTTTGAGGCCCTCTGAGGATGAATTACCACACAGTACATGCAGCTACAAAGGTTAGGTCTTGTTTTAAAGCTCTGTTACTAGTTAGTAAGAATATGAAAAAATGGTAATGTGTATAGTTTGCACACAGGCTCACTCTTAATTGTTTTGGTGTCCAGCTATATATACTTTGTTAGGAACTGTTTGTTGGGCAGTTGCACACATTTACTTGTGCACTTTGTGTATTGTATTTTTTTTCCTGCTTTGTCCTGTGCAACACTATGCCACAGCGGTTCAAGGAGAGGTGACATGTGCACAGCATAGTTATTGCCAAAGCCTTTTTGGAGGTGTGGGGTCAACACAGTTGTTAAAAAACATGTTCCAATACCTCCCAAAAGTCTGATTCCAAGTCTGTTTGGCATGGAAATGCAAATTCCTGCACATCAGCTCTATTTTACTGTTCTTTTAAGCAGACTCTGCAAGTTTTAAAACTGTGAAGTCACCATAGTTTACCTGCTGCCAATTTTTTTTTTCAAATTCCACAAATGGCACATCTAAACGGCAATATATGGAGAACTGCGATGATTACAAAACTTTAAAGAGGTTTTGTTTTTTTTTATTCTTTGTAGGCTACCTCTCTGCTGTAAATTGAAACTTTTATTAATACAATGGATATTTCCATGGCGGTATAGCTAGTGTGATGCGGTAATTGCTTTAATACGGGATGAAACCTAGTCCTGTAAAGCTCTGTGCCAAGAACCACACCATGGGTTTTGGCAGGCTTTTTGGTCGTACGGAACATAGTCTTCTACTTTCTCACTTTTGATTATGAAGGGTGTCTTTTGGCTGGCCAAAGTCTGAATGTTAACTTTGTCTGCCATCTGTTTCCCCTATCATTTCTTCTTTACAGCCATAGCGCTGAATAACAAAACTACCCCAACCATGCCAGTGCTTTGAATTAGAATAGTGTGGACAGTAGGAAGCTAAGGACACATTTTATGATTGTGCTACATAGGTGTCCTCAAAGATGAGTAGCATGCAATGATCACGAGTTTACCCTAAATTGGCCTCTCAAAAGTGCTTGGACTTGGGGTCACTAGGAAAGTAGAGGTCCTTCTAGAACTATAAAACTTTAAAATACATTTTCACAGCTTCCATTTCCAAATTATGAAAAATGAATATATCTGTATACAAATTTAATGGTGTGTGTGTGTGTGTGTGTGTGTGTGTGTGTGTGTGTGTGTGTGTGTGTATTTAACAGCCCATGTGTTAATACTTGGAAATATTAGTGTTACTAAACCCAAGACCCTGCATTCACTCTATCTGGTCTCCCACAGTACACAGAACATGGAAATGCAATTATTTTAGTAAAAATAAACTGCTAAATACCTTTTCTCATTAGCAGTTGGAGCAGTCTTGTGACATCTATCAGTGTCCAGCAGAGCACTGGTTACAGCTTGTAGGAGGAGTAATAATTCTCCTCTAGGAGGATGCAGAACCACTGACCTCTGTCTGGTCAGTGCTGATTGTCCCTGTGCTGATCACATGCACTCTCCCAAGAGAAAAGAAAACTCTCTAGCAATTCACACCAAACTGAGCATGTGCAGAGTGGCTCCAAACCTCTGTTCTATCAGGAGATATTTAGGGGACAATGGAAGGGGTGGATCAGAGAAGTGAGGATCAAACATCCTTTTTACTCAATGTGGAGCATTAACCCCTTAGATTCCACAGTGAGTATAACAAGCATACATTACTGCATATACAGACTGATTTTACTGTTGTGGATTTAATAACACTTTCATTTTTCTTTTGAAATGTTTAATTAGGATATAATGAATGCAATATGTTTAAAAATATAGCAAAGTTAATGTATTGGAAGGGTTACTATGCATTCCAAAGTCTGACGCCAAAAATGATGTGTTTATGCTCACCCCCGTCATTATATTATACTGTACCAACACAGCTTAAGGGATAGCATCAATGAAAATGACCCCCCCCCCCCCCCCCCCAACCTTCCATAAACCAACAAATGCCTTTCCAGCACTATCCTGACACTTCTCTGTTGCATCCAGCCCCTAACATAGTGTCACCGGCTGCTTCATGTTACAATGATTGGGCCTAACAATTGGTTGCTAGACCTGAGCGCTGCTCTATATACTAACAAGTGCCAAAAAATGCTAAATACACCCATCCATATACACTGATATATTAAGAAGATGATAAACAATACAAAAAAATAATAGCCACCCGACAGAGCCTTGCTCGGAAGGCTATAAACACAATATTTCAATAATGTAACTAGTGTGCAATCAATAGAAACTGTGTTCAAACCATAAGTATATAAAATTCTATAATATCAAGAAGGTTAAAAAAAAAACAATAAGTAAACACCCGTCCAACTTGTTAGTCTCAGCCGATCTGCTCAGTTATGACACGTTCATGCATGACTGAATGTTACCTGTACGGGGACACCATTCGTGTCAGATTCACACACTGTTGTGGTGCTTGAACACACTTTGGGGTTGATTTACTAAAACTGGAGAATGCACAATCTGATGCAGCTCTGCATATCAACCAATCCGCTTCCAGGTTTTATTGTCAAAGCTTAATTGAGCAAGCTGAAGTTAGAATCTGACTACCATGCACAGCTTAGCCAGATTTGCACTCTCCAGTTTTAGTTAATCAACCCTTTTGCATTAAGGAATCCATTTTATTTTGAATTCTGCAATTATTTTATCTATAGTTGCCTAATAATGCAATTTGTGCCTAGATGAATTGGTATGCAGCCAGATATTTCCAGGGCCCTATGCTGATGCCCCATAGCAGTTTCCATAGTTGTAGTATGGTACTTGCTAAATCTATAAAATGGAAAATGAATAAAATGGAGGCATCACGGCGAGTGTATGTTAAACACTACACCTCCACCAATCTGCATTGGGGGGATTTGTGGAACACCAGGTTAGCCACAGAACTGCCATGTATCAATTGTGCAAAATTCATCTGGAAAAGATGGCTGTTTCTTGTCTATCTGCCGGCATTTCCTAATTTAAACAACTGTTTTTATGTGTACACATTCTCTGTTTGAAGGTGTTTCTGACTTGTTATATTTTCTCTCTCCTGTAGCCATATCAACCCAGCTACATAGAGCCACTGAAGACAAATAAATACAGCGTCATTTATCCAACCCCAGGCATGCTGCACAGTAAGCTCTACCCATGCACTGAAGCATTTCCTGGTTTCCAAATAGAGCCGGTGGATCTCACAACCAACAAAAGGAATTCACCACCCTCCGCCGGAAGCTCCCCATCTCCTGTCAAATACCAGTCACCCAAGAGAAGCTCTCCAATATTATTTATGCCTTCATCCAGTCCGCCAGTGAAAAAATTAACCCCGTCGCCACCCTCTGTGCCTCCTTTCCCAATGCCATTGGCTCTTAACCCTATATTATCTGCCTTCCCGAGACAGACTTACAGAAATCCAGGACTCCTACCCCTTTTACAGCCGGTGGTTGTACAGCCGGTTCATGTACAGCCATTAATGTATGCGCCTCATCTTCAGCAGCCAATCATGGTGTCCACAGTTCTAGCAGAAGAGATGGAATGTCAAAGCAGCAAGCACAGTGAGTAATGAATTTATAACAACTTTGTACTGACACCGCATCACTTTTTTGGTACATACAAGAGATTTTTATTAGAGAAGCTGTTTTGTTACAGGCAGCAAGCTGTAGCTTTTAACCGAGGTCCATTTTATCCCCTTCTGTTGCCTTTTGGCCATTGACTGCAAATATGTGAAGAAAAGTCAATTGAAGTCTTGGTCAACAAGCACTCTTGGTGAGATGTGAGTTAAGGGTTTGGGAAACCCTGCTGTAAACCACTGTGCCAAGTTTTGTTTATGAAACTTTAGGTGATAGAAAAGTTGGAAGTGGACACAAACTTTACTGTAATTTGGAACCCAAAAGGTATGGTTCTTTTTCAGTGTTTCTTAAATATGACTAACCATTGACCCCAACAACAATTTATGGGACTCTATTTGGAGTTTTTACCAACAGGCTTTTTTTTTTTTTTTTTTTACAAACCAGTATTTTTCAGGCACTTTTTTTTGTTAGTTTAGCATCTACAATGCCTTTAATTTACTACCAAAGAAAACCATTCTCAGTTTGGAGTCTTTGCAGACTGAATTTTTTTTTACCTACTTACTCTTATAAAGCTGTAACAGGCTGTGACAATTTATGCAACTACTATCTCTACACCGTGCCTGCTCTCTTCCTCTTTTGGTCTTCAGAAGGAATCCCTTCTCTTCTACATACATTCAAATGGTGCTTAAATCTGTTTAATAGTGGGAGTGTTTCTGTGGTAATTGAGCCAAATAGGTGGATTGGGCAGATTTAATACTTTTAAAAAAACTTCAGCCATGCACATGCAATTAGTGATGTTTAACTTCTAATAATGGAAAAAGTGATTTGAGAGTTTGACTTTAAAAACTGGATGTGAAAGTTTCTCTAGTCTGGTATTTGTAGTTTCTTGTTGGCTCATTTGCAGGATGCATGAGTATAAACAAAGTCATAATATTGTGTTTTAGAATCTTGCTATATCATTGATCCATTCAATTGATTACAGTGGTTCTAACAAGTTTTATTAGAAAAGGTGGTGTATGAGGTGAGACAATTTAATTCCCAGAATGGCCACGGCATAGCACTATGGTGGTGAGTCACACAACCATTCGCACTCAAGCGTATTCTGACATGTTCTAAATTGAACTCGCCTGGGTTACAGACCAGTTGACTCAGTCTTTATGGAGTAGTAGAAGAAATAACGTGTGTGTGCATTGTTCTATTGGTCGAAAATGAGTGACAGGATTTCGGGGAAGAGGCTAAAAATCAAATGTTTTGTGACAATTGGCAAAAGTGAATTTTTAGCTCTGTTCTAACGGGCTTAAGGTGAACATTCCACAAAGAAATCCAGTATTTTTTTGAATGGCATAGGCAGTTTGAGGAGCAAGAAGATGTCCATGATGATGTAAGTGAGCAGCCAAAATGCAAATGTGGACACAGTGCAAAACCTCGTATGCTCCGATTCGTGATTTAGTGGTGAATTATGGCAGAAGAATTGAACATGAACAGGGAAACAGAGAGGCAGATTCTAATAAAGGGTTTGGGAATGAGAGCGTTTTGTTTTTTTTTTTTTTTTTTTTTTTGTTTTTTTTCCTACAGTTCAGTTCATTTTAGGAATTAAATTGTCATACCTAAATACTTTATCTAGCTAGAATTATTAGGGGGTAAGAACTATGTGATTTGACAGTGTTTGTGCTTTTCAATGGGGTTTGGGGATCTGCAGTGGTGGGACCTATGTTCATATATTTTTTTTTTTTTTTTTTTTCCCCTTTTGCTTTAAAGGGGACTTATACATTTTTAACTGTCTTAAAGCGGTAGTAAACTTTACTAAAACAAATCTTCATCCTGCAAAGCAATATTGTAATGGGCTAGTATGCATCACTCCTTATGAAAGACTTGCCTTAAAACGAAGCCCTCCAGCGACATGCTGTCCCCTCTGACGGGGCTTCCACACCCAGTCTTCCTTCTAGGTTCGCAGGCTCTAGCCGCTTGAATGGTCGAGCTGCGATAATGTCACTTCCGCACATGAGTATGCCACTTCTTCAGAGCGCATGCGCCGGTGACGTCACCAGCTGCAGAAACACGGAATATCTCTTAAACTGCTTGTTCAGGAGATTTTCCTTGTTCCTACGGGTTAGCTTTATTATAAGCTTACCTGTAGGTACAAGTGTCCAAGCAGAGTTTACTATCACTTTTCACATCTGTTTTAAACATGTGTTGTATATACTTTTGATCCACGATGTCTCATTTTGTAAAATTTTAAAAACTGAATTAAACCCCACCCTATATAGTGTGAGAGCGAAAATATTTGCATAGAAATTACAGGAAATAATTTAAGTTTTCCCTATATTTTTTGTGATCATGAAATCGCCACTCAGTTGACTGATTCCTCTTTTAAAGTGGAAATGTAGGCAGAACTTTTTTTTTCCCCATTTTGGACCTAGTGTTATAACCCCTTCAAGGCTTGAACATCTGTCTCCCATCGGGACAGTAGAAACTGAGAGTGTGTGCCAGGTAGTCACCATAAATGTCCCCATTGGAAGATTTCAGCTATATTCCTGTTCTGGTGAAAATCCCAAATTTTGAGTGATCACCAAAACGAAGAGTGGGTAAGTCTCCTTTAGCGGGATAACTTCCTAGAGCAGATCACAATAACAACCTGACAGGTGGTCTAATCCTTCTCCACTCTGTCTAAAACTAAGTGTTGTCTTTGTGGCAATGACTTTAGGAGAAGAGTCCATCTTTACCGAGTTTTGCCAATAAATATACTGCGAATATCAAATACTCATTTGGAAAAGTGTATAATAACATAATAAATATTCCTTATAAATGCTGTTGCTGCATAGAACATTTGACAGAGATAACAGAACGCATTTGGTATAATACAAGTTTTATTTATTTTTCTTTTGCAGTACCTATGACAGTCCCTGAGTGTTATGAAAAGTCTCTATTGAAGACCATAAAAGTGGAGCCTGGTTTGGAACATACGGTAACAGAACTTTACCCAGAACAAATGTCACCTGGTAATAGTACGCCTCCTAAAGGAATATTCCATGAGTAAGTAATACTTTCTCAATATACCAGCTGCATGTACTTTGCATACCACCTCTACGCGGCGTTTCTAAACTATCGATAAACTATTGTGTAAATAAACAAGGGCCAATGGAAGGATAGGTAGGCTTCTGTAGGCCAATGGGAGATTAGGTAGGTTTCTGTAGGCCGAACATCGGTTTGCTTCTGCATAACAAAGTGTAGTTGTCCAGTGACTTCAACTGTTCAGTTGCTTCAGACTCTAAACTGATTTTTATTGTATTGATGCTTGGTTTGAACCCACTAACAGAAATGTGACTTAACAGCAAAAACCAATTTCCCATCAATGTCACTTACTTTGCTCTTCATGGCATACTTGTGTGATCATAGTGGTTCATGTGAAATACAGCGGGTAAAATAAGTATTGAACACGTCACCATTTTTCTCAGATCTATTTCTAAAGTTGCTATTGGCATGAAATTTTCACCACATGTAACAACCCATGCAGTCTATACATACAAGGAAACCAAAACAAATAAGTTTAGAAATTAAGTTGTGTAATAAAATTGAATGACACAGGGAAAACATATTGAACAGGCTAACTGAAATGTATTTCCTATTTTTATATTACCTCATACAAAATCCTTTGTTGATAATGACAGCTTCAAGACACCTCCCATATGGAGAAACTAGTTGCATGCATTGCTCAGGTGTGATTTTGGCCCATTCTTCCACACAAATAGTCTTCAAATCTTGAAGGTTCCGTGGGCCTCTTCTATGGACTCTGATCTTTAGTTCTTTCCAAAGATTTTCTATTGCAGTCCAGTCAGGTGATTGGCTGAGCCATTCTAGGAGTTTTATGTTCTTTCTTTAAAACCAATTGAGAGTATTCTTGGCTTTGTGTTTGGGATCATTGTTTTGCTGAAATGTCCACCCTCATTTCATCGTCTTCATCCTGGTAGATGGCAGCAGATTTTTATCAAGAATGTCTTGGCGCATTTTTCCATTCATCCTTCCTTCAATGACATGACGTTTGTCAGTACTGTATGCTGAAAAACAGCCCCCCACCATGATGTTCCCACCTCCAAACTTCACTGTTGGGATGGTGTTTCTGGTGTGATGTGCAGTGTCATTTGACCTCCCAAACATGGTGTGTATTATGGCATCCAAAGAGTTCAATTTTGGTCTCATCTGACCAGACTATATTCTCCCAGTATTTCACAGGTTTGTCTAAATGTTGTGCAGAAAACGTTAAATGAGTTTCAATGTGCTTTTTCATCAGCAATGGAGTCTTGCATGGTGAGCATGCATCCAGGCCATGGTGGTTGAGTACATTACTTATTGTTTTCTTCGAAACAATTGTACCTGCTAATTCCAGGTCTTTCTGAAGTTTGCAACAAGTGGTTCTTGGCTCTTGGACAACTCTTCTGATAATTATTTTCACTACTCTGTCAGAAATCCTGCGAGGAGCACCAGGTAGTGGCCGGTTTATGGTCAAATAACGTTCTTCCTACTTCTGAATGTTCCAAGTGAGCACTGTTGAGGCCATAATCCAGAAGTTTAGAAATTCTTCTGTAACCAATGCCATCAGTATGTTTTGCAACAATAAGGTTGCAAAGGTCTTGGAGAACATTGCTTTTACCCATCATGAGATGTTTCTTGTGTGACACCTTGGTAATGAGACACCTTTTTTCTAGGTCATCAGTTGAGACTGAACCAGTTTATATTAATTTGCACAAGAGGCAGGATTGCTTTCTAATTACTGATAGGTTTCAGTTGGTGTCTTGGCTTTCCATGCCTTTTTTGCACCTCCCTTTCTTCATGTGTTCATGTGGGTTTTTTTTTTTCCCTGTGTAATTCCATTTTATTACACATAACTTTTTCTGTATTTCTTAATTGTTTTGGTTTCTTTGTATGTATGGATTGCATGGGTTGTTGGTTACATGTGGTGAAAATTCCAATGCAATAGCGCTTTATTGCTATAATGTATTTACTGAGAAAAATGGTGACGTGTTCAATACTTATTTTACCCGCTGTAGATCTAACTATATATACTTCCTCCTTTTCTCTGCTTGGTTTACAATTCATGACAAATTGCCAGGACAGGGTATTGTTCTCTATTTGGTCCTCTCTTGTGTGACTGATATGATTTTTTTTTTTTTTCGTCTGTTTTATATGGTTAAAAACTTGATACATTTAAAATAATAAAACAAGTTAATCAAAGTGTATGGAAAGGACCCCCTTTTTTTTTTTTCTTTCTTTGGACCCGATGTCAAGTGTCCGTTTGTTTTTCTCTTTTTTTGCTTTTTTTTTTTTTTTTTCCTCCATTTGTCCTAATGATCATTTTTAGAAAGTGGTGATAATCCAAAGTTTTACAGTAGTCACCGACAGTATATTTATCCAAATATGCTGATAGCTACCAAAGTTGGCAGTTCCCCTAATTTTGTAGAGATTTCTTCCTATTTCCTGTTTCCACAGGACATAAAGGGAAATTTTCCTAGCTATACTGTAGTACAATTTTTGTGTTGGTGAGAATAAAGGACTTTTTTTTTTTTTTTTTTTTTTTTTGAACTGCAACACTTATTCCAGCTGTAATTTGTAATTTTATCTTGATTCATTTTCCAAATTATGGAACCATTTTCAGAAATTATAGAACAATCTCTTAATAAAACTATTTAATGTGAACATTAGTTCATCTACATGTAAGATTTCAAGAGAATGTTTGTTTTTAAAGATCCCTGTACAGGATGTATTATCTTTACATGTGTTGAGTGAAAATGAAAAGCAGACTCTTCATGTAGATGAAACTGGGTTAAAATGAGGAAAAAACAAGACAAGGTGCTCTGGAATGTAGACGCAGTCATTGCTTTATTCAACGGTGTGGCAATATGTTTTTAATGCAAGGAGCCAATTTTAAGACTTCCCATGGGTGGGGCAGCCAGGCTGAACACTACTTTTAGGAATTGACGTCATTTACAAAGAAGGGACCGCACCCTCCTGTTGGCAATGAGCAACAGGAAATTCTTAATTGCCCTGAAAGGAGTGACTGAGACAATAACAAATATTTCTTCCAATGAATAGGGATTTTCAGAGCTACACGATTTTTTTTTTTTTTTTTTTTTTTTTTTTTTTTTCTTTTTCGAAGTAGGGGGAAGGGCTGTTTCAGATTTGTAGGAAATGGCACATATAAACAAATGTACAGAGAGCAAAGTAGAATGTAACAAGGTTTTGCAATCCTGAAGTTGTTTGCGTGGGAAATGAGAACATGACCTTGTTAATTATTACAAAATAATACACTCCCACATGGTCACTGGATGGCCTGTTCTGTATCCTGAGCCTGATGTTGCCAAGTATTCCTCGCATAGGAACTCAACTCTGCTGATTTTCAGGATAGGCTCAGACCCATATACTGTAGTTGGGACAGTCAGAAAATTCTTTATTGTGGCAATTGCTGTTCAAAGCAAAGTAGGAGGCACAACAGATTTCTCTACAACTGTTCAGTTTAACCACTTTTGCTCTCATATCTGTATACTCCTTATGGACAGAATGATTGATTTATATTTTTTCACTATGGACCTGGTTATTTGGCAATGACTTTGTAACTATTTGAAAAAACACGCAATACAGACATTCTTCTGGTAAAAGACTTTCATTGAGCAATATTTGCAAATGAAAACAAGGTGTTTTTGTGTGTGTGTGTGTGTGTGTGTGTGTGTGTGTGTTTGTTGTTGTTCTTTGTGTGTTCTGTTTGTTTTATTTTGTACATTTAATGTTAATGCACAGCTGGAAAAAGTAAAAAATAAAATGAATGAAAAAACAAAGCATGTATATAAATAATCAGCAGAAAAATAGCAAAGAAGGGGAGGAAGGAGTTAATTCATGGTGATTAGGGTTGGCTGAGATTAAATAGGAATGTAACTTGTAAGGCTTCTTTTAAGTGATGTCAAATGCAATCCAAGGTCACACCTTTTTGAATATGAATAATATATATGAATAAATACAGTGATTGATTTATGGTATTCTTTCAATGACACTGGGGGGGGGGGGGGGGGGGGGGATTTATGAAAATTTGTGCACTCAGAATCTGGTGCATTTTAGCCAATCTGCTTCTAACCTCAGCTTGTTCAATTAAGCTTTGGCAAAAAAAATCTGGAAGCTGATTGGTTGCTAATGCAGAAGTTTGCCTGATTTTACACTCTCCAGCCTTAGTAAATTATTGATATCTGCTATGCAATACAAAAATTACCAGCTGCCCTTTTGAAGCCAGTATTTGCTGGAAAAAGGGGCGAGGGGGGAGCTGGACAAAGGAAATGTGCCCTAAAAACTATGTTGAATTTATTAGGATGTCTCTTTCGCTCCAAATCTTAAGGGGATAATTGACACACATCTAAAGCCAAAACATTCTTCTTAGTTTTAGAAAATTATGTCCCTGCTGTGTATAACCACGCAATTTGTTTATCCTGGTAATCATTGTTGGGAAATCCAACATGTTCTAGTTTTCACTGGAACAGGAGGTGAGGGGAATTAATACAGTAGGGATACCCCAATCCATGAAAGTTGTCTAAGTGATTTACCACCACTGGAAAGAGTTCTTCCTACAGTCTGTTGTGTTTTCAGACAGGAAGCGAAGGTTATTCCCACCAGGGGGACAAAGGAGAAAATAAAATATATATAAATAAATAAATTATTTATATATATATATATATATATATATATATATATATATATATATATATATATATATATATATATAGTTAACTTTTTTTTTTATTCTCTATCCAAAACAGAAATTATGGCTTTAGATTTACATTAACAGATGTTAACCCAGAGGCAGGCACATATTTATGCAGATTATATAGCTGTATAATGACCTTTTGGGGTTTGAGGTTAACCTGTGCCCAGACTACAAATACTAAAGTATTTGGCTACTCTGAACAAGCAGTAAAAACACTTTAAAACTCTTTTCACCTCTGTATCTATAATTAACGGGGAGAAATGTGTTTTCAATGATACCACCTTGCTGAAGAGTGAATTGAAATGAGCCTGGCCCTGATTTTCTAGGTGTCTAGACATCACATGCAGTGCAGTCCTACATTAAACTGCCTGGCTCCCCTGTGTGCCGGACAGTGTTTACATCTGCTTTTCTGCCTGTGCTCCATTCTTTTAACTTCTGTGATTATCAGATGTTTGCGCTTATATTACCTTAGTTGTATGATATAGTAAACATTTTATTTTCTGTCTTTTTGTGCAGACATCATCCATCAGTTATTGTACACCCAGGAAAGAGGCCATTACCAGTGGAGTCCCCAGAGACACAGAGGAAGAGAAGGATACACAGATGTGATTATGATGGCTGCAACAAAGTTTACACAAAAAGTTCCCATTTAAAGGCACACCGGAGGACACACACAGGTCAGCATTTGCCAGCATTTGCATTTTCAAACTGTGACTGGATGTCACATATTACAAGAGATACAAGACCATCTGTAGTGGGCTGCAGCCACCTGCTGATACCCCCCCCCCTTCTTATATTGTTATAATGGATAACTGAGGTGTTTGGTGGGCAATTGACCAATGCTCCCTGACCCACTTTTTTTTTTTTTTTTTTTTTTTTAATAGCAGAGAGCCATCAGTGAGTGCTTCAGTGGGCCTTAAAGCCAACCTGTGTTTTTTTTTCAAGGCACTGTACTGTTGTGTTTGTCCATTTTAAAAGTATTCATGCCCCTTTGAAATTTAACACATTGTCATGTTACAACCAAAAACGTAAATGTATTTTATGTGATAGACCAACACAAAGTGGCACATATTTGAGAAGTGGAAGGAAAATGATAAATGGTTTTCAAAATTTTTTACAAATATCTGAAAAGTGAGGTGTGTATTTAGCCCCCTTTACTCTGATACCCCTAACTAAAATCTAGTGGAACCAATTGCCTTCAGAAGTCACCTAATTAGTAAATAGTGTCCACATGTGTGTAAATTAATCTCAGTATAAATACAGCTATTCTGTGAAGCCCACAGAGGTTTTTTAGAGAACATTAGTGAACAGCATCATGAAGGCCAAGGAATGCAACTCATTGCTTAACTGCTTCTTGTGCAAGGCTAGCATCAATGAGGACCCAGTTGATAGTCCTGACATGCAGGGTGGAGGTCTAAAACTTTTTATTATACAGGAGAATGACAACTTAATTTCTGGGGTGGCCACCTTAGGTCATGGCCTATATTTTTCTTTTCCCCTCAAATCTAGCCCTGCCTGCAGTCCAAGAGTAACTAGCCTTCTACTGTGGGAGAGGACAGAGGAGAAACACAGGCAGACAAGGACGCATGCATGTTTTTTCAGTATAGAGAAACAGATGAGGCAGGATGTGTGGAGAAAAGTAGGACATATAGTTTAATATCCGTCCCTACCTGGCAGCTATAGGACCTGGATGTGCACTGTTGCATAAATTTTACATTAATTGTTCTGCCTTGCATCCCTTGTATGCCTCTCCCTGGATTTAACCACTTTCTCTCCAAAGGATTTACCCCCCTTCCAGACCAGGCCTTTTTTTTTCGATACTTCGCTGCGTTACTTTAACTGACAATTGTGCTGTCGTGCAACGCTGCACCTAAATGAAATTTTCGTCTTTTTTTCCTCCACAAATACAGCTTTCTTTATTTGGTATTTGACCACCTGTGGTTTTTTTTTGGTTTTTTTTTTTTTAATTTTTAGGCTATAAATAAAAGACCGACTATTTTGAGGGGGAAAAAAAAATATTTTTGACCTTTTTGCTTTAAACATGTCCAGTAAAAATAATTTAAAAATCAAATTTCGTCATAAATTTAGGCCAAAATGTATTCTGCTACACGTCTTTGCTAAAAAAAAAAAAAAAAAAATCCCAATACGTGTAAATTTAATTTGTTTGCGTGAAAGTTATAGCATTTAGGTGTGTGTACGTGTGTACATCTACCAGGGTCTTCTGGATATTAAAGAGGACGATACTTCGGTTCATATGGGTAAATAAGAAACCGAGAATTAAGTATGAAGTGCTGTCTAGGGCAAAAGAGAATGGGGGGTTAAACCTGCCTAATTTTATGCCCCAAACTACCTCACCAACCTGATACCCAAATAGCACCCAACCCGTACTCTTCGCTCCTCACAAGACCTCCTAATTTCTAGCTCCCTGGTCTCCTCCTCCCACGCCCGACTGCAGGACTTCTCCAGGACTTCCCACATCCTCTGGAACTCACTACCCCAATCCATCAGACTGTCACCTACCCTCCTCACCTTTAGGCGCACCCGGAAAACACATCTCTTCAGGGAAGCCTACCCCACCCTCACCTAACAGCCGATCTCCTCCATTCCTCCTACCACTCCATCCAACAGAGCCACTTCTTCCTGTACCACTATCCCCTCCCTCCTAGATTGTAAGCTCGAAAGAGCAGGGCCCTCGAACCCCTCGTGTATTGTTTTGTTACTGTATTGTCTCATGTTCTGTCCCCCACTATAATGTACAGTGCTGAGGAAACCTTTTGGTGCTATAAAAACACTGTATAATAATAATTCATCGGTGATATCACGGATTGTAGATTGGACACAATTCACAAGGGAAGTGTTGGGTAAATATGGAAGAGAATGAGTAAGGCACAACTGGAGAAGAATATATGGATACCACAGGTTCCATATACTAGACCTGAATACTAGTTCCTTGACCAGGAAAGTTTTTAGAGTCTGGGATATAATACACAAGCAAAAGTGATGGAAATATAATTCAACACTAATTTCCCTGATGGGAACAGGGTATTTTCCTCCAGGGAAGGACAATATCTTTGGGAAATGGTTTAAAGATAATCATGCACATTTGAAGGACATAATGGAAATTAATGGTGAAATTGCACTTTTCACGAATTAAGAGGAAAAAAGACTTCATGTTAGACTAGTGGTGGTATTATCAATTGGGTCATTTTGTTTCAACGCTCCCACAACCACTGAGAACTTCGGAGGATCTGTATCCATTTGAAAGATTGTTGAATGTAAACACCGTTCCAATACATGCTACCTCTAGGATTTATAAGATCGTTATTGAGATGGAGGGAGCTGATCCTCCCTTGTTCTTAGAGAAATGGGAAAAGGAGCTGGGAAAAGAATTGAATGAGCAACAAAGGAATAAATTACTCAAATGAACTCACGAGGCAATGAATATGAGCACAGTAGAAATGAACTTCAAATGTTCGGTGAGATGGTATATCACAGAGTGTGGCATATAATCCACAATTAGAAGTTTCATCTTTATGTTGGCGGGGTTGCAGAAAAAAGGGAACAATGGCACATATATGGTGGGAATGTTCTAAAATACAGGAGTACTGGCAGGAAATAATCCAATATACCCAGGAGACACCAGGGAACACCATACAGAAGGGCATGTTTATTTTACAACATTGAGTCTTCAGTGAGACTATACAGAAACAGGGTACTATACCATCTAATCAGTGCGGCTAAAGGATTTATTCCCAAATTCTGGCAAGCTTCAGAGCCCCCAAAAATAAAAGATTGATTAAATAGAGTTGAATACATATGTAGGATGGAGGAACTGTACCATAAGGATGAGGATAAAATGTGGAGTAGCTGGGTAGACTAAGATATCAGGAAGGGGTGGGAGTATAAAGAGTAAAGTTTAGAGAATACACGACTAAGTATCTGTGCGGGGGTGAGTGAAGAAAGGAGAGAGTGGACGTGTGAGGGAAGGCACTTGCCTCAAGATAGAAGAAAAATATGGGAGGTTTTTGGAAGGAAGGATTAGGCATATGGACAGGGGTAATTGGATGGGGGGGGGGGGGGGAGGTAGTGTAAGAAATAGGAGAATTGAAATGGAATTTGTGTAATATGTGAATTGTAAGGTATAAGGTTGTGGTTTTTTTTTTTTTTTGTTTGTTTGTAATGGAAAATTCAATAAAAGATGTAATTAGAAAAAAAAAAACTTCTTTCTGTTAATTACATGTACTTTGTTCTACTTCCTGATTTCCCTGAGACAATGCTGACATAGCTCCAGCCTCACAGATGCCCCTCTGAGAAAGCTAGTGTCTTCCAGGGAAATATCACGCATGCACTATGAATAACAAGCCGCGCTGGTTCTCATAAACAGTAAGCTGCACCATACACAAACTGGTGCTGCTAGTTGTTCAGTAATAAACTGCCCCAGTTTTTGTATGGTGCATGTGCTGGATTGGACACAGCTTGTTGTTGAATATTAAGCTACGCCAGATTTCTGTGTGCCAGCTCAGGGAACCAGGAAGAATCCTGTGCTAGTTTGCCTAATTACTTGAAGATTGCAAGGGCAATTTTATAAGAGGAGGGAGGTGGGGGCAAAATCTGCTTCGACACAGAACTACAGGGTGGAGCGATGACGAAACACAAAATGTGCTTAAATAGTACCTCCACACGAAGGATCTATTTCTTGTTGCTTAAACCCTCCTTTTTTTTTTTTTTTTTTTTTTTTTTTTTTTTTTTTTATAAATATTATTGCTTGCATAAGCTGTTCTTATGTCCATCTCAGGTTAATAACACAGTTTAACCATCATAAAGCTGTTTTCAAAACTTTTCCAAAAAACTCAGTGTTTCTGAGCAATGTTTACTCATTGATTGCTCTGATTTCCCAGTTTTATTGCAGCAGACGTTCGCTATTTGTACTTATTCTACTCCTCTGTGCACTTACATGATCTTCCTGTTCTCTCTTCTAGGGGAAAAGCCTTATCAGTGTACTTGGGAAGGATGCACATGGAAGTTTGCCCGCTCTGACGAACTGACTCGGCATTTCCGTAAACACACTGGAATCAAACCATTTCAGTGCCCAGACTGTGACCGTAGCTTTTCCCGCTCCGACCACCTTGCCCTCCACAGAAAGAGACACATGCTTGTCTGAACGGCTTTTATAATTTTTTTTTTTTTTTTTTTTTTATATTTAGCAAAATCTGGATTCAGCTGGTCTGAATCACAAGCCTACAATTCCATAGGGTCAGTGGATGATGTTCTCTTAACCTCATTGTACTTGCCACGGGTCAGACCTAAGAATGTGAACTTCTTTTTATTTAGTTTTTTTTTTTTTTTTTTTTTTTCTGTTTTTATATGGAGGATAAGCAGTAACTTCCTGCCCTTTTTGACACCTCAGGAAATGGAGAATAAACATGGACAATGTACTGCTTCACATGTACTTGCAAGCCATATATCTATATGAAATAACTTATACCTGTATTTAATTATCAACACAATGCCTAGTCTGCTTTATCTTGCCACATTCCTCACACTCGTTAGTGCTAAAGTTTTATTCATTTTTTTATTGACCACAATTTAAAAAAAAAAAAAAATTACATTTTTGAAATACTTTTAATGGCGTAAGATTTCTTGTCCCTTATTTCTGTTTTATGTTGTAATACCTGAATGCAAAAAACGCACTTTGGAAAGAGAAAAAAAAAAAACGGACAACACCAAATGTATGCAGTTCTCACAAATGCTTCCATTTGTTTGATGTTTCTGCCATGGACTAATGGTTTATGCCTTAATCAAGAAGAAATTCGACGCTACACTTTTTTTTTTATTTTTTTCTTCTAAATAGCCCTTTGTATTCTACATATGTATCTACCTATTCATTAGATTTACAGTTTGTCTATGCCATGTATTATGATGTGCAATGTACTTGAATAATATTAAAAGTATATATTTTTAAAATAAATAATTTGTACAGAAGGATCAGATGGACGTTTTGGTAACTAATTTTTTGCAGTTTCACTGCAGAGTAATTTTATATGTGCATCTGAAGGTATCCATAAATTTAGATCTGGCAAATGCAAAGCATTTGTTGGTATTTTAACCTCTTGCCGACCGCAGATAGCCGAATGAGGGCATTACTGCGGCTGGGTAGTTCTGGGTGGACGTCATATGATGTCCTCCCAGAACGCGCTCTCCTGCACACCTTCGGGGGCGTACACCTGGTGATCTCCATGATATCGTAAAAGGCCACAGTGGCCTTTTTACCACGTGATCAGCCGTGTCCAATGACACACTGATCACTGGGAAATGCAATTGCCGGTTATCGGCTGCACTTTCCTCATGCTGTGACAGCATGAGGAAAGTACTACCGAGAAACCAGCAGTTGTCAGAGGAAGGATCGGCACTGATGATCAGTGCCCTGATTGGTGCCCAGCAGTGCCGTCCATCAGTGCCACCTCTCCGTGCTGCCTATCAGTGCAGCCTCACCAACGCACATCAGTGAAGGAGAAAAATTACCTGTTTTGCAAAATTTTATAATAGAAACAGAAACTTTTTTTTTTTCAAATTTTTTTGCTCTTGTTTATAGCGCAAAAAAATAAAACATCCAGTGGCGAGTAAATACCACCAAAAGAAAGCTCTATTTGTGTGATAAAAAGATAAAAATGTCATATAGGTACAGTGTTGCAATTGTCATTCAAAGTGCGACAGCGCTGCTAGCTGAAAATTGTCCTGGTAAGGAAGGGGGTAGAAGTGCCCAGTAGGCAAGTGGTTAATAAGGGTTCTGCAGAACATAGTTTAAAAAAAAAAAAAAAAAATTTTTAGGAAAATTTAATCTTGTACAGCTTGTATTGTGCAGTTCATGCATCCGTCATCTATGCATGGTATTCAAAACATGATCTCCACCTAAAACTTCCCAATACTGTATACGCACTTAGAACATGTGACACCCAGGAACAAAAACTATGCAGACCTTGCCAAAGCATGCCATGTGGAACAACCAGTGGAATTCATTAAGAAAGTCGTAGTGATTGTGACAGATTTCATGCATCTGTGGAACAATGTTGTGAATTAGCTGCAGGAGGCAGCCGGCACTGAGACTCAGCACTACAAAGCTCCCTTCTTTACCTGTGTGGCGTTTGTTGTGGGGTGGACGGAACCTGATGAATTCTAGGAGACTAGTTTCTCATGTCAATCTCCCTTGTGATTGATGGCAGTAGGCAGATTCCATAGCAGTTATACAGCCCAGCTATGGAATCTCACAGTCCAACTTTTATTCAGTGTCTCTCTATATAAAACACCCAATAGTGCTGATATCATCTTAATGAGTATTATTCTTCCACAAGTGACAATCCTCTCCTCCACTTAGTACCCTTGAAAAAATATAGGCCTGCACCTTAGCAACCAATAAAGCAAAAAAAAAAAAAACTAATATCAAGTTAACATGTGGCACTCTCCCTGACCATTCTGGCCTGTCTCAGTACACCAACTTAGAGATGGTCTTAATTACCTCCCAGATTTGTAGTTTTGTTATGTCTATGAAATGGCTATAAATCTTTTTGAACTGGTTGCAGCTATAGTGAAGCAATATTAAAGAATGTGTCAGCCATGCTTTCTTTGGTCAAGGAAGGGTGGGTTTTTGGTAGAGACATTGTTTGTAGACTGTCACCTTTTGAAATTTTAATACATATGGCAAGAGGAGCTAAGAGTGCAGCTGATTACTTTTTTTTTTTTTATTATTATTTAATATATATATATATATATATATATATATATATATTTCTGATGCAGGGTGGACTGTAGTGACCGGCACCTGGATTGTCTATGTACAAGAGGGGCAAGTCTTGAAAGGGGACTATGCAGTTTTAGTAAATAATCCTATTGTGTAAAAAAAAAAAATACCCAAAACCAAAGTGCAATATTTGGTACAACTCTGCATAGAAACCAATCCGTTTCCAGGTTTTATTGTCAAAGCCTAACTGAAAAAGCTGGTTAGAAGCTGATTGGCTACCATGCACAGCTGAACCAGACTCTGAGCGGCTATTACATTGGGGGAGATTTACTAAAACTGGTGCATTCAAAGAACTACCCAAATCTGTCATATGTTGGAACTGGTATACCTGTTGCTAAGCTTTCATGATTTAGGTGCAAGACTTTCTAATGGGCTAATAGCACCAGAATAGTGTCACAAATGCTTTATTGAATTGCCCCCAATATTCTTTATAAGTTGGTACCAGTTGACTTGTTTTTTTCTTGCTCAAATTGCTTTTGTAAAATCTATAAAAAAAAAAACAAAAAAACTAACAAGCAAAGATAAGTAAAAGATTGCAGCGTATATTGCCCAATATTCAGTGATGTTTCATTACAAGTACAGTTACTGTAGCGATAAGGAAAATTGACTGTGCCAATCACAATACGCTAGCAATGCTCAAGTTATACAAAGGACTACTCACTCCCCATTCCACTCAGGGAATGCCATGTACAGCGAGATTTAGTTGTGTAAACCAGAACCTGAACAAAATAGAACCACAATCTAATCAGAGAATAAGAAAGTTTCGCAACTAGAGCCAGCACTTCTGCTATATGTATATCAGTTGGATACATACACCTAGTGGATTGGTAGAGAGCGAGAGATATCTTCAAAGCCATGGGCAATGCAGTTCCTTTGTAGTTTCAATGCTGAAATATTAAGGACACTAGGGCTAGTGGAGCCACGCCTGGGGTCTGCAATCATGGACCCCATAGTTTCTCAAATTTGCAGGGGGTACCCCATTGTTGGAGAATATGACTCTCTTAAGAAGGGTAGAATTAACCTGATTGTGCCAATCCTTAAGTGTTTGGAGAGGAGATCACCACTTTGAGGCAATACATTTAATGTATGTGCCAGGAATAGCAATCTGGTAATAGAGGTTCTGACCTGCGGTGTAAAGGATTCTTCATTCAAGAATCCTAACACACGTCAAGGGATCATTATTCACATTTAACTGGAACTACTTATTTATAGTATCAATAATAAGGTGCCAATAGCAGACCAACTTGGGGCAGCGGCAGATCATGTCTAAGGGATCCACAGATGAGCCATACTTTAATGAGCATCTAGGGCAATCAGGGCTTTCCCTACAGTTCCTAAGATGGAGCTTCAGCTGCATTCTACATACTGTGTTTTACAAAAAAACTAAGACAACCGTTGCAGGCAAGAGTGTTACTAGTAAAACCTGCTTCAGTATGGCCTGCCATGTCTGCTCATCAATCTACCCAGGATCTTTGTCCCACCCTATCTTACTGGGGATATGAAGTTTGGACAGGGAGTTGATGAGATATAGAGAGAGGAAATAAGGCCTTTCTTGTCTGTAGCAGAGGCAAGGGAGTTCATATGTTGAGTGGGGATCAACTTTGTGCTAGATAATTTAGCCTGTGCTGAGAGGGCTAAATTAGGTATTAAAAAAAAAATTTGCCAGAAGAAATATTAAACTCATGCTGCAGGTCCGGAAAGGATCCTAATTGATCGTGCTTAAACAGTTGGTAAAGGAATTGCACCCCTCTAGAAAACCATTCATCAAAACCTTGGAACTTGCTCAACTCCTCAAAGCATCCTCCCTCCCAGATTGGACAGTAATGTGAAATACCCTCATGTCCCATGATCTGTTTCATTTATTACCACTATTTGTACATCAGTTTCAAGGTATGGGTACCGTGAGGATTCCCTAAACCTACCTGCCTCCAGCTGAGCCAGGTGGTGGGTATTTGGCATCTAGAGTGAGTAGGATGGCTTGATTAGGATCAATTATATTTTAAGTACCTCACCCTGTGAAGTGCTGTAGTTGCGCAGCTATGAAATATAGTTTCCCATGTGCCACTATCCTTATGTAATTGTAAAATAGGCAATCGAATGCTGGGATTCCTGCCTTTCCAAATAAGAATTCGAAAGATGGGAGTCTATCCTTTTAATCCAGCTGTTAGGGATCCATACCAGGTAATTGTGTAAAATGTATAATAACTGGGTTGGCCAAACCATTTTCACCAGATTCGTTCATCCTACCACTGACAAAGGTAGTTTAGGCCAGGCTTTGCTTTTAAATTTATCACGGAGGGGCTGTAGATTATATCATAAATAATCTTCCACAGTATGATGGACCCAAACCCCAAGGTAACAAACCT